AGGAGTAAGGTTGAGCTGCGGAAAGCAAGGTGCATAGCTAGGTTTGTGTCTTGCTCCATTTATTCCTGAAGCTCTGAAAATTAGAGTTTTAAATTCTAAGTGCAAATAATGCTTTGGAGGGATATAAAACACTCCTAGTACTACGCTTAACACGCATTTGCAGGTAATGTGTTTTGGGTTTTTTTGGGGAAGTGTATGGAGTGTACCTGGCAGTGGATAGAGGGGCGTTTCTGAAGTTGGGTACAAAGAGGCTTCTGGGAACACCCAGCTGCCGTTATTCCCAATTTGAGCTGTGTTCCCTCCCTTTGTAAGGGAGCCTTAGAGAGGTGAGGGAAAAGAATATTATTAACAAGGTACCGTCAGGAAAAACACACGGAAGAGGAATCAGTCTGTTAAGTTTGTTTTGATTGAGACATTGTAAGATGAAGCTGATTTTCTGCCCTGCTTTCTCTCTCAGTCCCAGCTTAGGTATGTTCATTTTGTCTGGAAATTCTGCTTCTGAGCCAAGTCTTCTAGTCCTCCTCCTCCTCTGCATTCTTTGGGATGCCATCTTTCAAAACAGTCTTGCTGTGCACGCAAATTGTAGAGTGCTTTGAGTGTTGAAATCAACTTCCTATTAATGCAGCTGATTTAAAGATTTTTCTGAGTAACTTACCTGTTATAGGAGGAGCAAATTTGGATTCAGTCTTACCGGATTTCAGAAGATACATGTTTTTTCACTCGATGCTTTCAGGGGGGTCTGTGTCTTGAGTGTCACTGGATTACAGAGCTTTACATTCTTGCAAGTAGCTCTTCTCCAGATAATTCTTGAAAATATCCGTGCAAGTGCATAGAACTTGGTTCATGTGGAAAAAGTGACTATTAAATAGTAAGCTAATCTTAAGGAAGGAGGCCTAGTGTAATGTATGTTTTAAATACTGATCTGTAGGCAGTGTTGCAGAGCAATACTTAGTTGTGAACCAGGTGTAACGCCTTGGCAAAGTAAATGTTTTATCAGATAAAAATCAGTATACAAAAAAAATCACTGATGTGGTGTCTTAATTTAAGCCAGTAAGTGGAGAAAAATAAGTTGAGATTGTTGTCAGATCAGTGGGTATCACAATTTCTCTAACTGTACTTCCATTGCTTGTGGTCATGTATGAGGTTTAAAAGTTAAATCCACTATTTTTTGCTTTAATCTTAATATTCTGCATAGCATTCTGAAGCATATTAACTTATTCCAGCATTTTCAAATTTATTCTTAAAAGGCTTTTCAAAACTGAACTGAATACAAAAGTCTGAGGTCATGCCTTTTTTTAGACTTTAGTCTGTTATATTGACCGTGAATTGGATGCTAACAATTTCTTCTTTGACAGCATTGCAGAAATTCAGAAAGATGTGGAATATCGACTGCCATTCACTGTAAACAACTTGACAATTAATATTAACATGTAAGTAGAGTGATATCTTTCTATATGCACATCTTGAACATTAAAAATGTTCTCAAAAAAAAGTAGTAATAGAACATAAATAGCTCCCATCTCATAACTAATTTCAGGAACTATAACCTGGATTTGCATTAATAGTTGTAGTGATATGAGTGGAAGTAGTTCTGTACAAGATGCGGATGCTCAGCTGAAAGCAAAACTATATTTTGCTGTGCTCAGCTCCTAAGATACTCGCGTGTTTTTAGTTGAAGGTAAGTAGGAGAAAATGCTTGAGGGTTTCTGATTACTTGGAATCCCCTACAAGTGAAAATAAACTTAATTAGTAATTTATTAATCTGCTGTAACTCCTACTACTGACTCTTACTCCAGTGAAGCTTCTGGATCATAACTGAAGTGATTTGTTGTAACATTTCCTATGAATTTACTTGGGGGGATGCTTTTGCTCTGGCAAATATTGATGGTATTCTATTCGCAAGGCTTTTATTACTTTAGCCTGATAACTTGCCTGATATTCTTGCAGGTTACACTGCATTGTCTTTGTAGTAATAACATTTGTATTAGAAAATATTCTCGTTATGCTGCAGCTTTTTCTTTTCTTCAGTTATGTCCGTGGACATAATTGCTTCATTGTTATACTACAATTTTGCCCAGTAAATGCTCTCTTCAGTTCTGTGGAAGTCTAGTATTCTAATCTGTCTGACTTCTAATTTTGTAACTGAATAATCCTCTTGTATGCTTCACTCTATTTCTCCATAACGCTTCTCATAGAAAAGTAAGTTTATGTAATTAATAGTACTTTTTCTTTGCATAAGAAGCCTTCTTATGCAAACTTTATCATGGGATGTAGCTGTAGTAATGGTTATTCTTGTATTTGCAGCTTGCTTCCACCTCAGTTTCCTCAGGAAAAACCAGTCATCAGTGTTTTCCCACCTGTGAGACATCATTTAATGGACAAGCAGGGAGTATATGTGACCGGTCCATTAATAAGTAATGTATGTATAATTTGTATCTTCATATATATCTACTGTTAATAGCAATTTTATTACATGTCATACTAGATTATTGCTAATACTTCTGGTAAAAAAGACTAGTTCAGATCCTAATCCCTCTCAAACTATATTTTGAGGGGTCTGAAAACAAAAAATCAGTAGTGTTCAGTATACTACTATTTATTCTTTTACTGCTACCATTACTGAGTTCAGTATTCCATGTATCTAAAACTATTTTAAGTTATGATGGCTTAGAAAGTTTCTATCACTTTTCTTGTTAGTACCAATAGCGTAGTTCATGTTTTTCTAAGCTATTCCAAATAAGGGAGAAGGATGCTTTAAGACTGTTCTGTAATGTAGTTCTTTCTACCCTAATCCTGTTAGAAAGATGTAAAGGTTTTAGCACCAATATGCAGGATTTTAATATGCTGTAGTGTTTTTTTTCTCTGCTAACAAGGATGTGGTAGTTTTTTTGAGTTGTGGGGTGAGGTTATGACTTTTTCAGAATGCAATTAATGATGCTTTTTGTCTCAAACTTAAATCTTGATTTTTTTTTTAAATTTTTTTTTTCCCACAAATGTAACTTGGTAACTGAGGTGGTAAACATGGTTTTTTTGGTTGTTCATCAGAAATGTTATACTTGATTGATTCTCCATTGATAATGGAATATACAAAAGACTTCCTGTTTCTGTTCAGTTCTGGGTAGCTTTATCACTTTATTTGGAGCTTGTGTAATAGCTTACAGCACTGCCGTGTGGGTATAATAAATAGTCAAGTTCAGCACGTTTTGGAACTGTTGGATTCCAGGAATAATTTTTCTTCTGCATCTTGCTGCTTTAAGTTTTTTGAGGTTTTTTGTTTCGTTTTGTTTTTGCCAGTTTACAATGCACTCAGATCTTGGAAAAATTATTCAAAGTTTACTGGACGAGTTTTGGAAGAATCCTCCAGTTCTGGCTCCTAGCTCAACATCATTTCCATAGTAAGTATCTATAAACATGATGAATGGAACTATGTGTATTGACTTACATTTTTTAAAAAGAGATGAAACCAAGTATTAGGAGGGCAGGAACAGGAATAATGTAGTGGCTTATTGGGAGACATAGATTCCCTGCCCTTGCACAATTTCGTGTGCGTGCTTGATAGCATGATTGTTTTGAGAAAAAACACTAGATTTCATTGGAATTACTGTATCAACATGCTGATATAACTTCTGTTTTCTTGAAAAAGAAGAAATGTTTACATTCAGATGAAATCTTGAATTTGCTGTAGATCATGATCTGAGCAGTTGTGTTTCTTCATATTCTGTTCATAATCTCCCTGGTTTAGAGACAGCTTCTGTTGCACAACTGTGCAACAGAAATTGTGCAGTTTAAATAGTGGTATTAAATATGCAAAAGTGGTCTGAGACATTACAGCTTTATCAGTACAGCTATGGTTCTCATGGCTGACAATGGTACTGGGTTTAGATGCAGCTGCAGTCGTGAATTTAAAAAAAATCCTTCACGTTATTTAGAAGTAATTATGTGTGTGTTGCCTGAACTGTTAAATGCTATATTGTAAATAAGAACTAATGTATGACACAGATGCGTTTCTCAGGACTTTTAGATGGAAACAATTTAAATTTATGCTCTCACAAATTTTTGAGAAGTAGTTTTGTTATAATTATGAGTGTGTATTTGGCTGCTCTAGAAGATTATAGTTTAATGGAGTTGTATCTTATGTTGCAGTATAAGACATAAAGTAGACTTACTACATTGGAAGTAACAGAACAGAAAATGCAAATTTTATGGTCTTTCAAAAATTCAGTCTTATACCTTGTATGTGGTCTAGTAATTATAATTCAAATGATAAGAAATGTGCTGTAAGCAGTTGGTTGCTCATGGTCATGGTTTTTGTTTGTTTGTTTTTAGCCTTTTCAACAAACCAGCTGGAATGCCTTCTTATGCTCCTCAGGGGTTTCCATTTCTTCCTCCATACCCACCTCAAGAAACAAACAGAACAATGGCAGCCGTGCCTGTTGCTGAATCAGTTTCTACAAGCTACACTACAGACAAGCCTGCTGCTCCCTCTTACGGCTTGATTGCTGATCTGCCACTACCTGTTCCGACAGCAGAAGCAGCGCTTCAGGTCTGTGCGCTGAGTTTTGCCGCTTAAGCTATCAGACACTGGGTATAAGTTCCCGCAAGGGCACACAGGGCATTGCCGCAAAACTCAAGGGAACAGTCTGAGTGACTGCACTTTATTGTTTTGCTGGTGCTAGGAAAATGAAACTGTCGTTCTGGCTTTGATTAAAAGTTTTTTAAAACAAACTTCAAGTTAGAGCAACAGGTTTGTCTTTCTGAGTTTCAGTGAAACTAGTGTTATGCTAAATATCTTTGAATATACTTTTTTTTTGGAGCTGCATTCCCCCATAGTGCAGCTGTGACTGTTTCTCCAGCCACAGAAAATGAGATCCTTTTCTCTATATAGGATTTCCTGCCCAGAACCTATCAGGTGAGAACAATGTGCAGTCTCTAGCCTTTATGTGTAGAGTATTTATTTCTCGGTTTCATGCTTCGGATAGCTTCTCTTCACGGATATTGTGTACTCACAAACTCCCCCTCACTGATGCACTCTGGAAGGATTTTTTTGAATGTCCTCCAAAAACTTTATATCTAAATGTTTAGTCTTTCATCAAATCTTGTCTTTAGAAACAAAAGCTTTCTTCATCTTGGAAAACACTTTTCTGGTTTTGTAGAATTTAAAATTTCTACCTTCTATAAAGACAAAGGTTTTTTTCCTTGTCTAAAAAACTTTTTTCCCCGTGGGATTATAGCTTTAAAAACCACATGAGAGAGATCAAAATGTTAATCTCTTTCTCTATTCTCACTTCCCTGAGTTATACTCCTTCTGTGTGTTTTCTGGGTCATCCACCTGTTGTCAAATGGAGGACATAGCAAGACAGAATTATTTTCCTCCAAAATTGACTCATCTTTTATGGCATGCCACCCCAAACATCCCCAAGTATTTTGTTGCCATGGTTGAGTTGAGACGTCTTCTGTTTGGAGACTAGTGCTACTGCTTCTCACTGTTTTTCGTACTTTTCTTGTTGCTGGCAAATACTCATCCCCGGTTTTGGATTAATCAGTTAAATATCAAGAAATTGCTCTTCAAAAATCTACTAAGCATTTCTAAACTTCCGTTTAGGTTGGCCAGAATGGATTTACTTACAAGATGCCTGATGTTCCTGATACATTTCCAGAACTCTCAGAACTAAGGTAAATTTTCAGAAGGTAGCAAAACTTTCCATGGTCTTTAAAAAGCAATTACTGCTAGTCTGTATCTGATTTTTGTCAAAAGTCTGTATATATCACTGAAAGGTATTTGTAGAAATTATAAATAGGAGAACTACCACTTACCAAAATTGTAGAGTCAGAAAGTAAGCCAGCCTTGTATTCAAATGTGCTGTTTGATTAGGGTTTTCTCAGCAAATTCAACGCCAGGAAAAAGAGCATTTATTTTTATTTTTCCTAACTATCAGTGTTCTTGCTGTCTTCTGGGGCCTCACCAGGGACTTGATTTCTACTAATACAATAAGCGTAACTTTTGAAGGAGGAAAGGGAACAGGGAAATGGACTTGAGACTGGTTCACGAATGGACTACTTTGTGAGCAGCTCAGCATGTGCGGGGGGGGTTGGGTTAGATAAATCCAGGTGGTAAATGTGCCAGCTGTCCCAGTGTAAATCACTTCCACATCTAAATACCTCATACATGTATTACACTAATATTTTCATCAAAAGCATATCTTGTCACAATTCAAAAAAATTGTATTCATTATTGTTCCCAGCAATTTGCTCAGATCTAATGAGACAGCCTCCTTGATCAGTTATCTGGGATTGACTAGATTACAAATTAGCTATTGATTCTGAAGGGGTCTTGGGAGATTGGTTTCTTTCTGATCTCACATCTTTATGGTGGTATCATAGTTTAGTGATTGAAAACTCTGTCCTTTCAAAAAGGAAAAGACCTTTGGCAAGAAGAACTTTGGGGGGTTTTTTGTTTCCCTTGACACCTTCTTAAGAGCCTATTTAATTTAGCTAGATCAGCTGTAAATTCTAGCAGCGTCCTTATTATGTAGCAGAAGGTTAGGGGACTTGGGGGGGAAGTGTAATTTGTTTAAACAAAGCATTCTAATCAAGTTTGGTCCTTCCAAGAAGACCAGATTAAAATTCCATTATTCTTCTGGTGGTAGTTGTGTTAAATCACAAATGGTATTGCTGCTGTTCTGAGTAGCTCTACTGGGTGTAGGTGGCAATGTTTTGGTAGCTTGGGGGCTGCACAGGTGGCCTTTGTGAGAAGGGACCCAGGGGCTGCCCCTGTGCCAGACACAGACGGCTTGGCAGCAGACCCACTGCAGGATAGCTGAGTCGATCAGTGAAGCAAGTGATGCCTCTATGAAAATACATTTAAAAAAGCGCAAACACTGCAGAGACAGTAGGGATTGAGGGGAGGAGTCGAAAAGTGTGAGAATCCTGCAAACACCAGGGTCAGAGAAGAAGGGGGAGGAGGTGCTCCAAGTGCCAGAGCAGATATTCATCTGCAGCCCATGTAAGTTTCGGAAAAGACCACAGTAGAACAGGTATTTCCCTGTAGCCCATGGAGAGGACTGTGCTGGAGCAGATATCCACACTGCAGTCCATGGAGGACCCCACATTGGAGCAGGCAGATATGCCCTGAAGGAAAGTGCAGCCATGGAGAGCCCACTCTAGAGCAGGCTCTCCTGCCAGAAACTACAGCCTGTGGAGAGGGACCCATCCTGGAGCAGGGGAAGAGTGTGAGGAGGAAGGAGCAGCAGAGACGAACTGTTATGGACTGACTGCAACACCTGCAATTCCGCCCCCGCCCCACTCCCCATGCTGCTTGGGGCAAGGGGAGGTAGAGGAATTGGGAATGAAGGAGTGAAGTTGAGCCTGGGGAAAAAGGGAGTGAGGTGTTTTAGTTTCTTTCTCACCATCCAGCTCTTACTATGATTGGCAATAAATTAAATTAGTTTTTCCCAAGTTGAGTGTGTTTTGCCTGTGATCATAATTGGTAAGTGATCTCCCTGTCTTTATCTCGACCCCCTATATCCTGTTGAGGAGGGGGACTGAGAGAACAGCTGGGTGGGCGTCTTGTAGCTGGCCAAGATCAACCCACTATAGTAGCGTTGAAAAACACTTTATAGGAAGTAGGGCTTGAAATGAGAGATACTTTTTAACACACTGCTTTTTAAGCTCACTGCTGCAGATAGTAGAGCTCACAATCCGGGAGAAAGGGGAAAAATAAGTTGTGGTCAAGTGTCGTGTATCTGTAAAGTCCCAGTAAATGCCTCAAACTTCCGACTTTTGGCGGAAATGAGTAACTCTACACTAAATGTTTGCTGTTAGCTTTAAATGTGCTTTCTTTCTGTTTGAATATAGTATATCGCAGCTGACCAATATGAATGAGCAAGAGGAAGTGTTACTGGAACAGTTTGTGACTCTACCACAACTGAAGCAAGTCATTACTGATAGAGATGAGTTAGTGAAAAGCATTGAAGAGTTGGCAAGTACGATGTCAAAACATTAGCATCTGTGGCTGTGTTCTGCGAACTGAATCCTTTAAAAAAAGTAGTAATAGTGACTTTATTTTACAGAAAAAAACTTGTTGCTGGAGCCTAGTCTCGAGGCAAAAAGACAGACGGTGTTGGATAAAGTAAGTGAACAATAAAATCTTTTTCAGAAATATTAGTTGTAATATTCTGTTTTTTTCTGGGGGAAAACATTCTTTTTCTTCTTCCTTCCAGTATGAGCAACTCACACAGATGAAAGCAGCCTTTGAAAAAAAGATGCAAAGACAGCATGAACTTAGTGAGGTATAATCTCTATATCATATTATTCTTTAAGACTATTTCAATAAAATTGAAGTTTTGATTTGTATCTTTATCCATAAAGAATATTCTTCTGGTTAAACTCTAATTTTATAGGAAATAGATTCACATGAAGTATGAAATGAAATGGGATGAAGTACCAAACAGTTTGAAAGCAAAACAGTGTTGTTATTGCACTACTGTTTTTTTGGGTTGGGTTTTTTTTTTAAATGCTAGAATAGAAGCAAAGTTGGAAGAAGGGAGTGTGGTGAGCATTTAGAGCTGTTCTTAAGTACAATCCTGGGTCAAACCAGTTTTAAGAATAGAATGATTTTTAAAGAAGGCTTTTTTAACTAATGGTACCCATTCAACATAATGAGCTTGTAAAACTGTACCAGATGAAAATGATTAAAACCATTGCTTTAGAAACTTAAATTCTGTGATTCACTGGGTATGCTTACCTTGTTATATATGCTGTCAAACTTCGCACATTCTAAAGCGCAAATATGCTAAAGTCGTTACCTTAGAAAGCAGTTTGGGGAAGGAGAGTAATTGCTTAGTATGTTTACCAGGATATGCGTTAAAAGATGTGACTTCCAATAAAACAATTTCTGCACTGAAATCTTCAGTATTTGCAAGACTTTTCACCTGAGAATACAACAGTCCATCAAAATATCCTGCATAGTACTCGAATTTCAAAATGCTCAAAAAGTAACAAAATACGAAATAGCAAGCAAAAAGTTACGTGACAGCAAGCTGAATTAATTTCATTGGTGATCTAAATGAATTAAATGTTTCCTCACTTGAAAATCAAATAGTGATGTAAATTGGCTTTAAAGTGGGCGGAGGTAGTTGGCATTGAGAAACTTTCTGTTTCTGTAAGAAACCACTTAACAACAGGACATAATACCCCATTGCTATATTACCTTTTCTTTTTTCTAAGTTAGATTTGCTGATTCAATTTAATGACGGTTAGGAGGCTGAGAGTTGGGGATTTGCAGCTGGATTTTTGTGCTGTTTTTCCACATACGCTGTATCTTCATATATTGATGTTCACTGTGCACTACCTGGTATCTCCTGTTACTTCTCCTTCAAAGTTCCAGACAAGTCTTTTTGCTTGTACTGTGGGTGAATTTTAGTCATCTTTTATTACAGCAAACTCTCCTTATTTTGCACAAGATTAATTTAACAGGAATTTTCTGATTACATTACAGTTTTACAGTACGTAAGTAAAATATTTTTCATGGGGTACATGAAGGGTAGTCCAAGCATCTGAAATCTATAAATATCTTAATTTTGCAGTTCTAGCTCTATACAGACTCCTACTGAAGATGTGAATCACGTTCTGATTAACTGTCCAAACATATTAGAGGAAAAATAATGCAATTATACACAATAAGCAGAAATAAAGTTTGAGGTTTATAAGAACAGAAGAATGAGTATATTGGTTTAGATTAGCAGCCCATCTACTTCTTGAGTAGGTGCTTTTTCCTTTCCTGTCTTCCTCTCCACAGTCATTTCAAGGGTATTTAAAAGCTGAACAGTAACGGCTTTTTTACCTTTTTATACTTCTCAGGTTCACTACTGACTTTGAGTTTCAAAAGTAGACCCTATTTATTGAAGATGCTTGAAACATTAGTTCTACTCAGAAATCATGCACTCGAGAATCTGTCAGATTTCCAAGTTGGATGCTTTCTACAGTGTAGGGTAAAAGTTGAAAAGCTTTATATGTTTGTGAGAATGATTGTGAATCAAGACCTAAACTAGCAACGCTTTTCTTACATTGAGTCCTTTCTAGTTTAACAAGCTATGCTGTTTCTTGGAGATGAAGCTTCATCTGGTCACTTAGGCTTTTATGTAATAACAGCGCTCTATTCACGTATCCCATATTTATATAGTCATTCATCTTTCTTCTTGGAAATGTTTTGATGGACAGTTTAATATTACATAGCAGTTTTTATTTTCTTAGAGTTGTAGTCCAAGTGCTCTGCAAGCCAGACTTAAAGTAGCTGCTCATGAAGCTGAAGAGGAATCTGACACTATTGCAGAAGACTTCTTGGAAGGCAAAACAGAAATAGATGACTTTCTTAGTAGTTTTATGGAAAAGAGAACGGTATGTAATATACAAGTCATTCTAATCTGAGAGATATACAACACATAGTGAATAAATTTAAGACTTAGAGTTTGAGCAGTCCTGTGATACAGAACAGTGCTTTAGTAAGCTCCAACAAAAGAAAAATGTATCCTTAAGTGTCTTCAGTCTATTTAAAATATTATCTGCATTCTGAAGGCACATACTTTTAAGGCAGGAGTGCACAGGTCTAGTCCTGTGTTGTTACAGACATTTTTGTGCCATTTTCGTGTATATCCTATATAGATATAGGGAAGATAGCCACATGGACGATTTTAAATTTGGTAAATAGACATAGAATGACATGTTGTATTAAGCAACCTTAATGTTTAATTTATTAAACTTCTTAAATTAATTATTCTGTTGATGGCTATCACCAAATAAGTAACTGAGGTTCAAAACCCACCATTCTTGCTCATTCTGTGACAAGAGCAACCTACCAGGTAGTGTACCTTTAAAGATGGCTAATAAATGCATTTAATAACATAGGAGACAATTCTCTTCTCTTGTAAGCAGTTGTGGATGGAATAATGTTACGAGTATAGACAGTTGTTCAGCCTGAAGCTTGGAAGGGGAGTGGTTCACAGGGTTTTCCTTTTTTAAAAAGCCTGCAAAGTATCTAAATCATTAAAGAGAAACTGTAGTATGCATTATAAAAAATTCCTTTCAGAATTCACTCTTTCTGTGTCTTGTTTTGTAGCTCTGCCACTGTAGACGAGCCAAAGAGGAAAAACTTCAACAGGCAATAGCAATGCACAGCCAATTTCATGCTCCGCTATAGGTAAACTGCTGTTTTAATATTTGTGGTGAATTTTTTTTTTTTTCCTTACAATTTACCTCATTGTCACACACTTAGAAATTGCTAACTGCAAATGGATTTGTTACAATGCTTAGTGTTCTAACAGTGTTTTCTGTGGAAATCAAGTATGTGCTGCATCTGTTGTTAGCTGTATTTAAAACATGACTTTCTAATTATGGAAATTTGTCTTTACAGACTTCCTGCAAACTACACCTGCCAAGAGAATGAGTGAAAAACCCAATAAAGCACACTTTTAAATAACTATTATTTGCAAATAAGCATTTCATCTTATGTGGTTGTATTTATAGAAGAGATTGTATACAGAGTTGGGATGGTTTTTGTACAAATTCGAATGTTTCTTTATATTCTCATTATATTCTCATTGTACTCAAGAATCCTTCTATTGCAATCTTTGCACTAATTTCTTGTATTTATTGTTGATAGTTCTTATTATATTAAGTTCCTGCTGCTATATTTCATTCTTCAGAGATTAAATATCTAAACATGTAATTTTGACTAGCTTTTTACATTTTTATAAAAACGTAATTCATATCTTTTGTATTTTGAACTTTAAACATAGATTTGGCTTAATCTCTGGAAGAGTTTGAGGTAAATGGTGATAGGGCTTTGGAAACTGAAGAAGTTCATAATTTGAGATTGTCAGTGGATTCACAAGCTGTCTTTTCTTGAAGCCAAAATGTTTCAGAACAAGTTTTTTACTTTTAAGTAATAATACAAAACTAAGTATAGCCTGTGTTGTGTTTTGGCTAAGTAGATTTGGATTAAGCAAAGGATATGTTGGAACAAAATTATATTGGAATCAAAATAGAATAAATGATCTCTGTGTAGATTTGGTTATGTTGCTCAGTAGCACCGATGCACTTGATTTCAGGAGTGGCTTGGTACCTACCACTGTAATTAAACACAATTTTCAGCTAGCAATTTCATTTTCATATTTGTTTTTACTTAAATGAAAAATAATCAGGTCACCTCCCAGTTTCTGTTTTATGCAATATGAATATGTTCATCATGTGAGGAACTCAAAAGCACTTTACAAAAACTAGTTCTGAAGTTCTTTGTGAAGTAGCAGTTATTTTTTCTAATTTTAAGGAACAAAGAAACTAATTTGGCTGGAGTTGCGTAGTGTGTTATGTTAAGGGCGGTGATAGAATTTGGAAACGAGACATAATTCTGCCCTTTAATTACTGAATCTTGCCTCTGGTTAGCTGAATTTTTTTAGGATGGGAGTACATCTGGTGAGAATAGATAGGACCAAGTGCACTATTCTATAGGAGAAAAATACGCCTAAATACATGCATGTATGTTCTCTCTTGCTCGTGCAAAAAGACACATTCTTTTTCTTGTCAGTGCATTAGGTTTTCACAGAGACAGTCGAGTTCCAGAAGAACAGAAGGAATTGTACAGTTCTGGGAGATAAATAAGATAAAGCACTGATTAAGTAATCTGTCAGGAATCCTGTTTCTTTCTTGTCAGGAAGCAGTCTGGAGATAAACCTCTTAGCCACGACACTGCCTCTGTGTTACCTAGATAGGGTCACAGAACATCACAGATTCAAGTCTCAAACTAAAGCACGTCAGTCCAAGCGAGTTCTTTTCTGTATCACTAATCTTCACTCAGTCCTAAACTCGATGCTCTTCTAGCAAAATGCAATAAGGTTTTTCTTCTGAATTGGAGAAAAGCGAGTAAATTTGGAGTTATGAAAATCACGTAAGTGCAAGAAGTCTGTCCCACAGGCTAGTGAATCTTCAAATGGGGCTTTAGTCTCAGCCCTGTCATACTTTACACTACTGTGGTTGTCTGTCTTAAGCTACTGCCTTTCAGGGCGAGCAAACTATTCACTGGTATTTGATGGGATTTTTCTTTGTAAAGCTGGTCCAAATTCTGAGATTAGATATCCCAATCAAATAGAACTATAGTCCAAATCAAAGAAGATACTTAGGTGCCTGAAAAAATAAACAGGTTGTAAGTGCCATGGTTAAGCAATAATTTTAGAGTATCTTCTTGCAAAAACACATTTCTACTGACTGTGCATAATACTCCTTGTGTATTGACATAGCGCTTCTGCTCATATGCTAACTAGAGCCCTAATTAAAAATGAGATCACGTAGGTTTCCAAGTGGTTCTGGACTTGGGTGTCTGAGTAGTGTGATTTCTGCAGCTCTGGAGAAGAGTTAGATTTAAGCCATCAGTGTTACCTTTTTGGCAAACTCTGTCTATTTTTGTCCCGAGTGAACAAGTTGTTTTGGATCTTTTTCTGAGTATCCAGCTAACGAGCTTAAAGACTAGACACACAATCCTGAACAGGGCTGCTTTTTTTGTTGTTGTTTCTTCCTTGTAAGCATAGAAAAGAACAGATGACCAAACACCCGGTGTTCTTCTTGAGTTGCGCTAGTATCTTCTTTATACATTTTATAATGGCACGGAATGACAGACTTCTATCCTCATCTGCCTCCTCCTGTTGAATGTTATGTGGTGTATTATGGTGCTCTACTGTGATTGAACTCTAACCAGGTCACCTTCAGGGGATTTGCTTTCCAAACTAGTCAAGTTCTGAACACTTCAGCTTTTCCTCTTACGTTACTTTTGTGAGCAAATTTACAAATTCAGGACTGCTCCATGGAGTCCTGATGATAATGGAGGAGAGTCTAGAAGAAAATGTCACTGTTTAATGCAAGTTCTTAGTACAGTGTTTCTTGTTCATATGCAATAAGAAAGTTTAATGTCTTCTCTTTCCTCCCTTTCTCTCATACCGTTGTTCCTATTCTTAGAATTTTTCTCCCCTATTTTTTAGCCCCTTCTGCAGTCACAAACCCATCCTCTAGAAAAGAAGCACAGAAGTCTCTGTATTCAACAGTGGTATGCTGGGTTAGCTACAGGCATCCTGTCACATGCAGGAATGGCTAGCCTGTTTCTGGCCCTTAAAGGACAAGCCAGCCTGCTGCTGCTTTGTTTTTTTTTCTTTTCTTTTAGTCCTACACTGGTTGTGCCAAGGTGAACTTTTTTCCTTATAGGTAATCTTCATACTTTCACCAGATGGCTTAGTAGAACACTGGTAACACTCTGTCAGAGTTAGGTTTTTTGGATTCTAGCACACTGGTAGTTCACTGTTAAGCGCATTCCTTACCTTATTTCGCGGACATGTGGCATGTAGGTGAAATCCAGTTTTAAGCAATTCCCAATGAAGTGTAAGAGAATGGCAGCTGCTGTTCGATGCGTATTCTAAAATCTTTTGAAATGTGTCAAGTGAACTCTTAAGCAATCTGGAATAATAGGGTACATACAGTGACTTGTTTCTGGAGATCCTTGCACTGGGTCATGCTCATGGTGAGGTGTTCTGCCAAGTGGAAAAGTGAAATAAATGAGCAAGAAATACAAGAGTAAGGAGGTGGCTTGTCTCTGGTCTTGCAGTAGTTTGGAGTGGGAGTGAGGGTGCATTCTGTATTGTAACTGCTAATTGAGTCTGGGTTTTGCCTAATTTTAACATCTGATCTTACTGCTAAATGTTTTCTGTAGCTGAATTTAGGCCTTTTGTTTCTCCCTGAGTCAAGTGACTACTTAAATCCAGAACTGAATTCTCCGTATAGCAATTGTAACTAATGCTATTGCAGACCAGAGAAATTTTAAAATATAAGTCTGAAATTAAGTAGGTTTCATTTTAGGGTGATCCTGTATACAACTGGTATTAATGGTACATTCTGCTGGAGCTTATAGAAGAAAGTTTTTCTAGATTTCACAGTGTATTTGACATGCTAATCTTTCTGAAAGACACACATTGTCAAGTAAATACAGTTATGCTAGCCACCACTACAAGCAAGAGACTATAATTAAGTTAGTTCTAAGCAGTATCTAATGATCTACTGTAGTTCTGTTGTTTGCTCTGTACATACTGCTGCAGGTTTGCCACTTTGGACCTTGACCAAATGCAGAAGTTAGAAATCTTTTAGTCTTGTTTCTGTCCAAGTTCTTACTACTCCTTTCAAAGACTAGGATGAATCTTTCTAAAAGAGAGATTTAAGAGACCTTCAGGTAAAACTGAATTAAAACTCTGGCAACAAAGTTAAGTCAGTTATCACAGCCTTATTGTGTACATTATTCTGAACAGTAAATACTGTAACGTGTTAAACTTAAAAATAAAGGCTTTGGGATTTTTAATGTATCATGTAATTGTCTAACTTACAGATAGAGTTGGGCATTGCAGGACTTGTTGGGTGGATACAGAATTGTGTTGGAAACATGCAGTAAGCTACTCAAGGACACACTTTTAATCTTTGTAGTGATTTGAGCTTTTCCTGTTTAACCCTTTCAACAGCAGTAATTCCTGTAGCCACCTTCACTAAAATGGGCTTTGAAAACCCATATTGCATCTCTGCCTACTGCTTTTGTAAATGCCTTGTTTTGGTCAGATACCTGTAGAGATCAAATTTATATGTAGTAATAAGCTACAAAGAAAGCTTGTATATCAATAATAAGGGAATACCTTAACATAAAGCACTGTGTTCTTTAGTCTTTGGAAACAGAATAAATTAATCTAACCTTGGCAACCAGCAGACTTAAAAATGAGTCCTTGCCTGAGTTCAGTCACAGCGATTCTGGTGGACCTATAAGGTTTCATCAGCTTCTTTCCAGAATGATTTATAATAAAAGACCACTAAATTTTATTTTAAGATTTAACATTTGATTTGTTTTGCTGATTCCAGGTGCTTTACTGGCAATTTAAATAATACAAGTAAAGTTGAATGCTTATTTTACCTTTCTTTCTCAATGTTTCTGGCCTCTCTGAGTTCGGGGTTTGCTGTACGCTTGGCCCTAGATCTTTGGCAGATTTTTCACTAGTCTTAGTACTGTGAGAGGTTGACCTACTTTTAACTTACCCCACCACATGTTCCTCCTTCCCAAATGAATTGTCAATGACTTACCTCTCCTTGGAGGATTTTTCAGTCACTGTGATGTTTACCTGTCTCTGCACTACAGAGTGCACAGGTGACCAGCCAACCTAAAAGCTACACTCAACCTTCAGCCTACATGCAGAAGCAGCCCATTGCCTCGACTATGATGTTTGTGATAAACTTGAGGACTCTGTGGGCAGATCAGGGCAGCATCCACATAAAAGCATCAAGTTAGCGGTCAACAGTGACAAAATGCTTATCTTCATTGCAAAGGCTACTTCCTTGTTGTGCTAGGCTTTAATCGTTACTAGTTTGTGTCATTAAACATCTTTCATGCTATATAAACTGGTGCTCTGGCTTGCCCCTGCCTTCAAAGAATGTGGTTGCCTGCCTTACTGCTAATTTTACAAAGAGCTTTCCTTCCCTCCCTCCCTCCTTTTACTTATTTTTTTTCTTTTCCTCTCCTTACTTTTAATGATATCCTTTGGTTTCAGTTGTGTCCTCCAACTTTTTAGTTGTATTTCTCAGCTTTTCAGAATCCATTACCAGTTTACCACTTCTGTTTATGTCTTGTATAGAGCTACCAATAAAAACAGCTAGTGA